AAGTCCTAGAAGTCCTTGATATCATTTGTACATCTCAAGTTATGAACCTCACGAGGCAAGGGTATTTTGGGAAAGTTTTATTATAGGTCATTTGTTCCAATGGTCATTTTCATGAACTTATGTACCTCAAATGCACTTCCAACCAACATGAAAATTGTCCCTAAGGGCTTCATTTACATCATTGAGCTCAAGATTTATTTGAATTGTGGAATTATATGGCCATATGGGAAGATTTTCAAGTGAAATTTGGACTTTTGGTCATGAAATGAAATTGATACATCATAGGTCTCATTTTATCTCATTTTTGAATTATTTCACACCACAATATGATCATGAGAAGTTTGCCACAAGTTGGATTAACACCAAATACATTGAAATGTACCATTTTCAAGTTTCTTCACTAAAATGTTTCCATTTCAAACTTGCAATGTGGATTACATACAAGGCCCAAATTAATTCAAGTCAGAAATACACCTCACATGCTCTCAGTTGATGACCTCAGGTGGTGTGATAGAGCTAAAACACGTGTGCATGAGTGAGGTTTCTTTCTTGGGAATTTTTCTCAAATTCACCTAACAGCCAACATGGGCCTGCATGGAGATCAGAAGTCCATCATATATAAGCATTTAGGGTTGCTCTAATGCTCAAAAGGGTGAATTCGAGTTGGAGAGAGCAGATTTAAATTCAAAAATTATCAAGCGTTCTTCAACTTCGAATTTGAATTTTCACTTGAAATTAACTGAAATTGAAGCTTGCATTCTCTTCCTAGGAGCAATTGGAGTGAAACTAAAGCAAGCAAGTGAAGGTTGCACGCATCTGAAGAACCAACGGAGTTGCTCCATTCAGTAAGTTTCCTCTTCTTGATTCTCTCATTTTAGGCACTGATTTATGCTCATATTGGTTGCATCTGAAGCCCTACGTTGAGTAGGCAATGCTTGCATCATTATTGTTCATGTTTGATCATGTTTTCAGTTGGTGCACTCAAACTTTGGATCTTTGATTCTCCTTGATCTTGAACATTTATGATGTTTGATCTATGGATTTGAAATCCTTGTAGCAAGACCTTTCGTTTGGTACCATTTTTGTTCATTTTTGTGGAGGTTTTTCCCCTGAGCTCTGGTGAGCTCACCAGAGAAGACGACCTGAGCCCTAGCTCTGGCGTCTGGTTCGTTTCAGGTCAAATCTGATGTGGCTTGGTTTGAATGTTTGACTGGCATGCATGTTTTGTTGTTATTGGCTTGACCTGGCTTATTTGGCATGTTGACCCCACGTCACTAAAGTGAAACGCATCGTTTCACTTAAGTCTGAAGCTTGGGTTTGATTTGGCCCTGAGTGCTATTCACACCACCCTGATTCTGAGCCCATTTCCTTGTACACGTTGTTTCAGTTGTTTTGGCTTTTGCTTATGCACCTCCCTTGGTTTTCTTTTATTTCATTTTTCTATTTCATTTTCTGTTTTGATTTTCAATTATTAAAAATACCTCCCATTGTCCAAAAATTAAATAAAAATTGTTTATAAACATTACAAAACCTTATTTAATTTTTCATATTTTTTATTTCTGATTTTATTTTATTTTTCAATTTTATTTTAATTTTGTAAAGTGAGGTGTTTTTAATATTGTATTTGTTTGATCATGTACATTTGAGCTACCATTCTACATCACCTATGAATGAGGTTTCCTCTCCATTTAGAGGATGGAGTGAGGTACTTTTGAGACTGATTTTGGTCAATCTTTGATCATTTTTTGTTTGAATTTGGTTTAACTTTTCTTGACCCTCAATTATAACTCAATGAGATGGAGCACCCTAGTTGATCAAATCATTTGGTGATGCCAAAGATTGAGTTTGGTTTTGAAACTTTGGTCTCTGGTTTCCATTGAGCTTTGTTGATTTCTGAATTTTATTTGGAATTTATTGAACATTTCTTCTATTTTTGATGAAGCTTGCAAGTCAAGTCATCTTAGAGGAAATTCATACAAACTAGTTTGACCTAGTTCCTTTGGGAAATGACTTTGATGGATCCCATATGCACCCTATGAGTCTTGATACTCATACATGACATGATTAAGGGGCTGGTCTTTCATTCTTAGGTCATACACTTGTGTAACTTGTGTGTCAAGTTACTTGGAGGTTAAGGTACTCCACTTGGTTTTAAGTGTTGATCATGGATTGAACTTTGGTTCTTTCTTTTACCTTGACTTGTTTTCTTGCTTGTGCTTTGCTTCCATTCTTGTTGTGGACTTTCTTCTTGTGATTCAACTTCTGTCCCTTGGGTTTTGATCCTCATTCAAGATGATTTGGTATCCAAGATTATACTTTGATTTTGTCTTGAATGATGGTTCACTTTGAGCACTTGTTTGCTCCTTTCTTTTGCATGATCAATGTGTTATGTTTGGTTGAGATATCTCTCATGTGCTTGCTGCCCAAGCTTCTTTCTCCCATACACACTTTGATCATGATCTTTGCTTGTGCATTATTGTTTATCTTTAAGTGAAAGTGATTGATGCATGAATGTAGGATTTGTAACTTCTCTCATTTCATCTCACTTTTTGTTTGTCTTGTTTAGGTCCTTTTGCTTTCATCTTTTGTTTATGTTGCATCTTGCATATCATGTTTGCATTTATTCTTGACTTGTTTAAGTGAACTTCATCCCTTTCTTGCATTTCATTTGTGATTGATTTATCTTGTGCTTTCTTGGTCTTTTGCCATGATCCCTTAGGATTCCTAGTCCCTCCGTTTAGGATGGGAGTAAGAGAGACATTAAGTGTTCAATCCAAGCATGATAACATTAGGATAGTTTCTTCCCCTCTTAATCCCAACTTTAGGAGTACATTGCAAGACAACATTAGGGTCGTTCAATTCCCCTTAGAGTTTTGTGTCTTCTCTTCTCATCTCTTAACATCTTAAGACACTTAATAAAGGATAATAAGTGTTGTACGCTACGAGCCTTAAGTATTTGGAAAATGATGGTTGGGGGGCTTCCTCTCAACTGTCTAGAGTGTTTAGCGTATGCCTTTTGGGCGATATGCAACGCATTCGCTCTCAAGTCATAGTCTTTAGTGCAACATGAGTTACAAACTTAATTCAATTCACTTCTTGTTTAAAAAACACAAAACAAAACATTAAACCTTTTTATCCTTCGGGATTAATTGAAAACCATTTTTAGAAAGAGTTTATTAACTCTTGGTTCTACCGCAAACAGGTAACGCCTAAGTCTCCAATGGTCGAGCAGCAATACAACTTCTAGAACGAAGGTTTAACCCTACTCAGTAAAAACACTTGAACCAATCTGTGTTCGTGTCAGCCTGAACTACGTTTGCTCTGATTTCTCATACCAGACGAGGATACGTAGGCACAGGACGACGATGTCATGGCGAGCAACCTTCCCCACTTTCACCCATGGTTTTCCGAACTACGTTGACTCTGACTTTCCCATTGCACGAGGGAATGCGTAGGCATAGAGCGGCGATGTTCTATCGAGTCTTTTATCTTTTCTTTTCTTTCACCCTGTGAGCCAGTCTTTTGATAGTTTAACACCTTTTTAGATAGACAACTAGCGTGGATCCCGTTGAGTACAACGGACGTAAGGGATGTTCATACCTTCCCCTTGCGTAACCGACTCCTGAACCCGAGATTTGGTTGCGATGACCTGTCTTTTCCCTTTTTCGTAGGTTTTCTCTGATTGTTTCCTTTCCCTATCTTTGGGATAAATAACGAACGGTGGCGACTCTTCTGTCTTTGCCGGCCCTCTTTTTCGCAGAAGCGACAGTAGGAAGCTTCTATGCTGGCCATTTTTACAACAACAACATTTCTTCTCTTTGAATAAAAAATTATGCACTCTCGATTCTCAAATTTAGAGAATAGCCATGCTCCAAAAATTGTCAAATCCTTAGAAATTTCTCATTTAACTCTAGCACATAATTAAAGAGTGTCGTGGATGACTTTTCTTCTTTGCTTTGTTGTAACTCCAATGTTGCCTTTACCTTTTACTTCAACATGTTCTCCGTTGCCCAATTTAACTTTTGAGCCAAATGAAAAATCAATGTTGATAAAAGCTTCTTTCTTTCCGGTCATATGATTGCTACAACCGCTATCCAAATACCACACATTTTTATCTTCTTGAAATGTTTTTTGACAAGAAGATAAAAATGTGTGGTATTTGGATAGCGGTTGATAGGTGCTGGTTCTTCATACTCATTTTGAACGAACTCTAAGACATCCAACAAGGTGAATATAGTCTTCATTTTAACAGCGCAAAGATCATAATTCTCTCTTTCAAACAAAGGAACTTTAACATTACTATAAGTTGTGGAAGTGATGTTTGTGGAAGCCATAATTTTTGTTGTTTTTGCTGTAGCTACAAGGATCTGCAGCTCTGATACCATAGTGTTGATGGTATTCTAGAGGTGGTATGTGATAAAATATATTATTGTAGAATCTTGAGTAGGAAAATATTTTTAAGTCAAATTTTTCACTGAACTTCCACTGGTGGAGGTTAGGTTTGAAATATTTTAATTTTATTGAATTCACCACACACTTTTTTTTTCTTACATACAACTTAGCATTACAATACCTTTATATAGATTTGAAGGAAACTGATAGAGAATTCAATAAGTTGGTAATCAAGATGAGAACTCTTTGAATCTCTCAATCTTAATGATATAACTCTACCATAAATCTAAACAAAAACAATAATTATAATATAATGATTACAATTGTCTCATAATACTTCTCTCTTAATACTTCCTAAAGATAGTGGTGGTTACACCGCATTAATTTTAAGAATAAAACTTCTCGCTAGACAAGTGCTTCAAGCAACTTTGCCTTTGGTTGACAATACCCATACATGGTGGGACCAAACTTTTGTGTATAATCAATAATGTAACTCAAATTGATGCATAAAGATAATGTAATCCAATATCTATTTAAGGCATGAGATACCACACACTTTCATCATATCAACCCTTGTTTCTTTCTTCTTTATTCTTTTCTTTCCAAAAATGGTTCTTGCTGGCAAACTTATTACTGAGCTTGGTATCAAAACACCCGCTGACAAGTTCTTCAAACTCTATGCATCAGAACTTCACGAAGTGCAAAATCATTGTGAAAGAATTCATGAAGCCAAGTTGCATGAAGGAGAAGAATGGCACGACACTGATACGGTTAAACACTGGACATATGTAGTAGGTAATTATAAAGTGATTGTTTTTATTTCAATTTAAAATTAATTGATCCTTATATTTTTCTATAATTGTTATCTTCAACTTTGTTGGTATCAATTGTCTGTGACATGACAACAGATGGTGAGGTACACACATGTCATGAGACTATTGAAGAAATTGATCAACAGAACAAAAGAATAACTTGGAAGCTGTTTGGTGGAGATATTGACAAGCACTACAAGGTGTTTAAGCTCATCCTTGAAGTAAGTGATAAGGCTGATGGTACTGCTGTTGTTAAATGGACAGTTGAATATGTGAAACTTAGTGAGGATATTAATCCTCCAAATGGATGGATGGACTTTGTGTGCCAATGCACTCGAGATATTGATGCTAATCTTGTCAAGGCAAGGGTTGCACTATAAGAAAAAAAATAAAAAGTCTTGGTGGATTGGGTTGGCTTACGTGTTCTTCTAAATAATTATTGTCATTATTTGTAATATTGGCATATTATTGAATTTTGTTTTACCTCATGTTGTAAGCCTGTGACTATCCGAACTTAAACATGATTTGTGTTTGGGTAGCCAATTATAGGAAAAACAATAGATTTTGTTTTCGTCGATTTTGTTTGTAATAATATGTCTAAATTATGTTGATTCAAATAAGTGGATGAATATATTTGTTTTTTTAGTTTAAAGAAAATTACACTCATTTTTGAAATTTATTAATATGACACTGACCAAAATATATAACTTCTATGTACATACTCCACAAAAACATATACTTTATCTCCTCATTCTCAAGTAACATTTAGCGGTTCACCACAGACATTAAGAGTCTTGTTGTTGGAGGATAGCGAAGACAAAATGTCAGTACATTTTCTCTGTTCAACCTTCTATATTTGGCAAAGTCATACCAACCATTAGCAAAAAACTTTTCCTTCACACTGTTTTTTTCTTTTAGCTCGCACTGATACGAAACTCTGATGTCAATATTAAGTAGCTCCATCGAGCTTTGAGGCCTTGACAAAAACATCAGAAACACTTCACGAGGAAATAGTTGCATATATAAACTATTTAATCATTTATTGTCACATGTTACAAACTAATAATACCCATTGTTATTATATACTATACAACTTACCAACACATTTTTCTTTATAACCTTCCCTTATTTAACTTTCCTCAATCAAATGCACGTTTTGGACTCAAATATCGAAGAGTCAATATTATCATCATTCAATAAACTATTATCTCCATAACTACATCCACAATACACATAACAAATACAATTTTAGCTTTGAGGCATGCATGACATAAATCTATGTCTTTAAATCAACTTAAAAACAACATTAAAACAACCATTCGCTTTGGCTTACTTGTGATCTTTATGGTGATATGTTCGAACTTTAGTAAAGCGGCAAGAAGTAAAAATTTAGTTTTGGAATGATTCCCTCCGCGATTTATATCGTTTCCACGGGGATCGGTGCGAGAGAAAGAATGTCGTTCAACGGTCTCTACATTTCTAAACCTGTTGTGAAAGGATTTGATCTCATCAACTGATAACACATGCACTCTTCTAACCAATTAAACACAAATCAATCATTCTTCTAATATCCTTACGTATCACACACGACAGAGGTTAAGTCTAACGCAACATCGAGAGAACAACCGTATTGTCTCAATGGTGATGTCTCACGCAACTCAATAGCATAAAGCATTAAGAACTAATACTCAAGCAAATGTTAAGTCTAAATCTATGTCTAAATCTAGAACCTAACATATAATCATCCTAGTTCCAGATCTGAAGAGTATATTTCTATAACTGTTCAAATAAAAAATAAACAAGTAAACAAAGATGACATCCATATTAGCTTCATGATTGATTCATATAAAACACTATGATCATGATATGTACATACGCTTAACCCTTTTTACATACATTCAACTAATTTGCCACATGTATGTGAATATAGTTCTTCATCTCTATTACCACGCATCCTCACAATACCGTATTGATCCTACTCATGCTACTAAGCAACACAATAAAATAGAAGATACAAGTGAATATCAACTTACCAGACTATGTCAAAAGTTTTCTCATTGATAGATGAATATCTTAGATCTAAGTTTTGAAAAGGTTTTGTCAAGACCCACAAATTAGAAATCAAAGATAACATCAATATTGAATCAAAACGAGTTCACAATACATATATTAGATGAAATAGATAAGGTATCAAGAGACTACATCAAAATCTAACAAGAAACCGAAACTCTTACCTTCTCCCCCTTAGGGTTTGTGTTTCTCTATCTAAAATATGCTTTGAAATGAAGAGAGATAAGTTATATTATGAAAATTACAAGTTATGTTTATAAAAAGAAAGAAAAGTACATATATAGTTGTCGCTACTAAAAAAATGCAACGATGGGGAGGCGAAAAGAAAGACGAAAGAGTCGCCACCAAACTTAATTTATCCCATAAGGGGAAGGGAAAATATCGAGAAAACCCTAAGAAGAGAACAGATAAGATGGTCTCGCAACCAAGAACGGGTTCGGAAGCCGATTATGCGAAGGGAAGGTATTAACACCCCTCGCATCCATCGTACTCGATGGGAACCATTTGTTTGTCGACGTGTGATAATATTTGCTAAAATATATTGCTTTCTATAAGTGTTCCTATAAGAGAGAGAAGGGTTAGAAACAGGGGAAAAAGAGGTAACGGGGGAAGCAAAAGACTCGGTAGGACTTCACGGTCCTAGGCCTATGTATTATCAACAGATATGGGAATGTCAGAGTCGACGTAGTTCGGGGAATTACAGATATGGGGAATGTGCTCGGCAAGGATTGTGGCCCTTGTGCTTACGAATCTTTACTTGAAGAAGTAAAGAATCAGAGTAGACGTAGTTCGGCCTACGGTTTGTTAATGTTTTTGTGGATGATGCTATCGTGCGCATTGTAGCAGTTTAAGTGTATAACTGCTCGCTCGTTGGAGACTTAGGCGTTACCTGTTTGCGGTAGAACGGATGTAACATATCCTTTTTAAAAAAATAGTTTTCTCCATGTGAGGCAAGATGTCACATTTGATTTGTGGGACCGTTTTTAGGGGTGAAATATGTCATCGGATAGTAACCCCTTGCGGGTAGTACCCAATTCTTTATCTCAAAGTTTTATTATGAAAGGGTGTGAATGCAAGCGTCTTCGTATTGAAAGACGAGTATCGAGACCACACACACTACAATGAGTATCCTGACACTCGGAGAGGAAGAAGTCTACACTCAATCCCCTCTCTTTAATTCAATACAAAGAGAACTCCATTCTCTTATTAAAAATGTTTTTGGTTTTGAACGGTAAGTTTTTTTCGATAGTGAACCCTACGCTAATGTCAGCACTCGGGATCGGAGAAGGCCTATGCCTAACCACTCCACGACCATTCAAATTTTTGTGAAAAGAGTTTGAAAATGCACTTGGTACGGGACCGAGGTTTTAGGAGAAAAGGTGTGGCAAACATAAGCGTCTTCGTATTGAAAGACGAGTATCAAGACCACACACTCTACAGTGAGTATCCCGACACTCGGAGAGGAAGAAGTCTCCACTCAATCCTCTCTCTTTAATTCAATACAAAAGAAACTTCAATCTCTTATTGAAGATAGTTTGACAGCGTTGGTGAATCGAATCGGGACACAACGTGGCGCTAAACCGTCGTAGCTCGACATATGATGAAATTCGAACTATATGAGGCCTTGTGATTGATATCCGTGCTAAAGACAAGATGGAGGAATGATATTGAGGATCGTTCTCCAATTGAATCGTGTCGCACGGATTGAAAGAGGTGATATCTCATCTTAATCGCAAACAAAATGTCAATTAATCGAAGGTAGCCTATCGCGATCCCAAAGTAAAGAAAATGACCCAAATGGTCATCTTCCATAGATTTGAAATCGAGAAGGTTATCAACTCCTAATAAATTCAACGCTTACGGATACAAGACTTCATCGATCGCAGAAAGTCAAAATAAAATCAAAAGAATAAGAAATGAGGAGAGAAAGACGTGGTCTCGGATCCAACATTATTCATCAATAATTTGAATGGTAATGGATTACGGAGGTCTCGTCATAGACCCAAACATAAGAGATGTTCCTAATCCAAGACATTTTTGAGCAAGAAGGATGTCTCTCCTCATATTGACCCAAACATAAGAGATGTTCCTAATAATCTTAGATTTCCAAAAAGTCCTAGAAGTCCTCATTTGGATTTATAGAGCTCAAGATATGAAGCTTGCAAGACAAGGGTATTTTGGGAAACTTGGATTATAGGTTACTTTTGGTTATAGGTCCATTACACCACTTTGCATACCTCAAATGAAAATATTTCCAACTTGAAAGTTTCTTAGAATGAGGTCATTTGCTCAACCAAACATCAAGGCACCATTGGGTTGGCTTGGATTGAAGATTTGATGAAGAGATTTTTGTGAAAAGAACATTAAAGGCCATTAAAAGTCAAAAATTCAAATAAATTCACAATGGACCAATCTCATCCAAATTTGTGCATATTTTGAGTGCATTTCACATTTCAAACACAATGGCATTGGTGGATTTGAAATTTGATTGCAACGATTCTTGACAGAGCACCACATCTTGTAGCCTTCGGTTTAGCTTAATCCTAGGGTAAAAATGAATTTGAAGCTTGGATTATTGATGTACATAGTGAGACGAAGAGAATGATATAATAAATTATAGGTTTTGAGAACTTTTCGTGACTGCCACTGTTCATCGTGGCCGGAGAAGAAGACCGAAGGTCCCTCCGACCACCGTCTGCGTTTCCCTCCCCTTTTCCAGTTTTAAATCCCCAGACGTGTTCTCAGCCATAGGATCTTGATACTTTTCCCTTTATCCAACGGCCTTGGCTTGATCTCAGTTTAGGTTGAATTTCTTTAATTACGTGGCTGCATGTTACCCCTAGGATTAGCTGACTTTTACTGTGTATGGATAGGATTGGAGTACACCATAGGCCCGCTTTGACCAAACCACATACAAGCACCATGAAACTATGCGTTTCATTAAATGCTGAATTGGACTGGGCTTCATCTGCTATTGGCACTCCCCTTTAGACTGGCCCATTGACTATAACATGAAAACATTGCTATTTGCCACAGGATTTTATCATTTTCTCTTCTTTTTCATTATTTCTTTCATTTCATGGTTGTTTACTTTTAATTGATTTAAAATAGTAAAATGCATGCAAAATTCATTAAACTTTTTCTCAAGATTCCTCAATATGTTAGATGATTTTACAAATTGTTGGATTATATTTTAGAGCACTTTTCAATTTAATGTGAATTTTTTCATTTCTGGTTGTTCTTTAAGTGTGAGAAATATGCATGTTTACTTCTAGGACTTTATTTCCTTGTCAAATCACAGAATAAAACT